TCAGCCATGAAAGTTATTAAAACACATTTTCTGTCTAGAAGAGCAGGGAAAGATGCCAATGACATAATGTTTTAATTAGAAGATGCAAGCACCTTTTTTTTTCTTTGCCTTGAATTTGCAACATTCAGCTTCTTGCTGCTTCTAAGTTCAGTCCTCCTGAGGCTGAGAAAAGGAGTAGCACAGCCTCCTACAAACAGACCCATAGAAGTATTTTTTAAAACTAATCAGCACCATAAGCCGCATAGCTGGAACTTCAAAGCCACAGCACTGTCTTAAAAGAGGCAAGTATTTACACAATTCTCTTAAGAACAAGGTCATATTTGCCGAGCCAGATAAACACAAACTTCAAACAAATACTGAAGTCTTTGAGTATAAACCATACGCAGAAGGCAACCGCTAAGTACTAGAGGATGCTTCTCACTTGTTTAGTAGCTGTCACAGCGCAGAAGAATCCCAGTACCCATAGAAGTTATGGACAGGCAAAAAATGCTGCTGTGAGGACATGCAGTATACTGCACACACACTGCCTGAGGCCCTGCTCAGAGAAACTTCTAACCTTAGGCATGCATCTCCAAGCTAAAAATGCACAGCCAGTAGCACAGTTATGAACTTCATACTTCACTATTTCAGACTGTCAAGCTTAGCAAATCCTTACCAAGTCCAACAAACTGACCCTGAGATCTCAACAGGTTTCTTTCCCACATAAAATACCAACTGTGCTAACGATTGTGCAAACTAACTCTCAGCGGTACATAAACAATCTAATTTATTATCTAATGAGAGCTCAGCTGACAGGTACAGTGCCTACGCAACATTATTTGCTACCAGCTCAAGTACAGAGGTACAGCTGGGCACAGGCAGGATGCCCTATATCATCTTTGTTGTTGTAGGCACAATGAAGAAAACACTGAATGATCTAAGCACTCTAGCAGTGTAATTCTCAGACCTACTTGGATTCAGCCTTTCCCATTTGTATTGGCTCCAGATGGCTGTTGTTCAGTTTAAAAGTATATACGCATTTCAAGGGAAATGTATGTTAGCACCCAAGATGTGAAGTCAATGTTCTGACCAGGAGGGATAAAGAGACACGCAAATTAGATTTATAAATATAGTAAGATTCAAACAAGAAGCTGGGAAATCTGATCCCACAGTTCTGCTCACAGCTCTGCCACCAATTCCCTGTGGCCTTTGTGAGTTACTTCATCTTTCAGCTGCTTAGCACAATGAACACTCTGGTGACCTCATCAGGACAAGGCCACGGCCATCCAGATGATGTTCCTATGGAAGCACAAGCTAAGGCACGCCAATTTACTGGGGCCACCTGATGCAGATCCTGAGTCACACCATCAGAGCTCTGAGGAATCCAAGTCTTTCACGAGATCAGGTGTTTCCCCACCTGTTGCTGGGCACCCAAGCATGCCACCTTCCTAACAGGGTAACCCATCCACTAAACTAACAGCAACACACACACTAAGCCCACACTCATAAGCTTACCTTGTCAAGGTAATGAAAAAAAAATACAGATCTAAAAATTAAGAGTGTTAAAAAAGTGTTTATTTTTTTTACACTCTCCATTTTTGGTGAGGCAACACCCTGGGGAAGAGCAGAATGAACACATGCACACTCCTTCTGCCCTTCCTAGTCACAAATACCTATTCTTTACACCAAACAAAGAAGGCTTACTTTTGTGGAAAACACATATGCTCACCTGACCAAAAAAAACAAAAAATAGATGCCAGGAAAGCACATCTTATCCAAGATTAAGAACCAAACTCAGCCCTTACTGTTAGAAAGCATCAGTGACTTTCTAGAGGCATAAAGAGACATTGGACGGGTCAGTGCAAGGAACTGGGAGACAGGCCTGGGCACAGAAGCCAGAAGTCCTGTCACTAACTTGATACGTGACATCAGGTAAACAATTTCATCCCCTCTCAGTCTCAGCTTACACTTTAGTAAGCCGATAATGATAAATTACCTACCTCGCTACATGGGTGGAGAGCGCTTTACTGATTCATGACAGCAAAGCAACCTGAGAAGAGTGGATATAAAGCTAGTCCACGTACACACACACAGATGGAGATAGATAAACAAATTGGAAGAAAAGACACGTTACCCAAAAGCTCCAGTCAGCACTCCAACTGTACTGGGCAGGAACCTGCATCTTCTCTGAGCACGAACCAAGAGCCTCCTCGGAGTCCGCAAGCAGCTGGCTGATAAGACCATGATCCACCTCATGAACTTCCTGCGAACAAGGAAGGGAGGTTATGTCACTTGAGAAAGGTGCTGAAGTAAGATGGTTAAGCCATTTAAGAACTGAGTATTAAATTAAACTTGACGTGCTAGGTTTACCCAGGTGAGCGGCATGGAAACACTTCCCACTGGCAGCGTTTTCATCGATTTTTTTTTTATAGCGTATGCTCTATTTAATTTTTACCTACCTTGTTATCAGAGTACATTATTTCCACAGCAACACCTCCACCTGGGCATTGAAGCCACACAGATGTTTAGAGCTGGGCTAACCCGAACAGGAGACACCTGTGCTCCACTTGCAGGACACCTCTGGGCACCCAGGGACCTTTCAGAAAGCGAGTCTGCACTTCCCAGAGACACAACATACTTTATGATGATACTAATATGTATCTTCTATACCTATTATTTGCACCCTAAGGTTTATTTGTACAAGACACACCACTACAGAGGCCAGCAGCTCTGCTTGCATTCCTCGTTAGGAAAATAAGCACGCTTCTGGAGCACTTTCCCTCGACACCGCTATTCGCCTGGGAGCTCGGCTGAGCTTCAGGAGGGGCAAGGGAGCCACAGCACAGGGGGACACTTGTCCCAAATCGCACAGCAAGCCGGGCCAGCACCCTACCAGTCCCCAGCCCACCCAGAGGATCCCAAACCCGGCTTCTCGCCCAGCAGGACCCGCAGCCGGGGCGGCACCGCCACGGCTCCCCCCATCCCCGGCGGGCCCTGCCCCGCTCGCCGCCCCCCAAAACTTTCCGAACCGGCGGTGGAGACGTCCGGGACCCCCCCCCCTTTTTCCTTTTTTTCCCCTTTTCCCTCCTCCCGGGGCCGGGGCACGGAGCTCACCGGCGGGGAGCGCGCAGAGCCCGGCGGCAGCGGCGGCGCTTACCATGGAGGGGGGCGAGGGCGGCGCGGCGCCCGCCAAGCGCCTCAGCGGGGCCGCGGCCGCCATTTAAAGGGGCAGGCGCGGAGCCGAAGGCGGGAGGCGCTTGCCGAGGGCCAGCGGCTCATGAGGAGGCCGGGCCGGGGAGAGGAGGAGAGGAGAGAAGGGAGAGGGGCCGCCCGCCCACGGCTGGGGGCTGCCGGGCAGCCCCGAGGGGGAGCCGGGCTGGGCGGAGGGGGTTTGGCGATCCTCCCCCCTCTCCTCACCCTATACACGCGGGGGGAGCCCCTGTGAGGCTTTGGGAGAGCTCGGTGAGGACGGCGAGGAGTTGGTGGAAAGTTTGGGGAGGAAAAAGTGATGACAGAGCCTCCCCCCTCCTTTCCTCCCTCCCTCCCTCACAGCGGGAGGCGGTGGGGCTGGGCACAGCCTGCCCAGCGCCGCTCCACGGGGACCCCTAGAGGGGGGAGAGCGAAACCCCACAGCCCTGTGGGGTTAGCCGAGGGGGGGGGGGGAAGCTTCACGTTCAGCTGGTGGCTGCCAGCGACGCTAAAACAACAAAAACACTGCACTAAAACACTGAAAACCTCCTTCTGTGTTCCTTTGGTTTGAAGCCGGCTGCCCGGCAGCTTTTCTTGAGCACGCCGCGTTTCATGGGGGATTCACAGCACGGGTACTGCTACAGGATGAAACGGACACACTGCACATCACAACACAATTTTTTTTGTTTTAGAAATGCATCAGATACTTGGGTTTACATCAGATAGTGTTTGGAATGCCTTTGATCCAGCCCCATCTTCCCACACTGACTCCTCTGCCACCCAGCCACGGCCACTGTCTCAGTCCCAACTCCTCTCGATGTGCCAGCTGCCTCTGACTTCGCTGGTTATTCACTCCTCAAATTCTTGGTTGCTTTTGATTCCCATGACTTGTTCCTTTCATAGATATTTTCTATGCTTTCTAGCACTTTGGCAATACTCCCCCGAGAAGAGCCTCATGACTTACCTTTCAGCTTTCCACCGAAGCACCATGTTGTCCCGTGCTTGGTCCCAGCTCCCTTCTTAATAAATATTTTCTTCAGAGTAATTCCTTTAGATAATCCCAGGTTGGATCTTCCCACAATCCCAACCCATTTGAATACTTGCCTTCTAGGTTCCTCAGCCATAACCCTGCTTTCACTGATCCAGGTGTCACCACATCAAAGCTAGATATCGTTCCTCTTGACATCGTTCGGTCAGCAGGTTTTTGCGAGTCAAATGTGGAATTTCTTGAAACAGTTACTGCAGTCCTTCCACCTGCAAAGATGCAAATCAAAGAATTTGTCAGAGTATTCACAAAAGCTGTAACATCACGGACAGTTGTCCTCATGGTGTATAGGGTTTTCTCTTTGTTTTGTTTGGGGGGAGGGGGGGTGGTCCTTTTTGCTTCTAAATACCAAGAAAAGCAGAAACACTGATGCTTCCCTTAGAAGTGTGCGGCACATATGTTTTAACAGGTGTGGAATTGAGTCTCTACTGGATAATCAAGCAAAATTCCGTTATCTGAAGAGTCCTAAAGATAAGCAAAGCCCTTAGATAAGGCCAGCAGGCTGCTGGACAGGTGCACTGGGAGAGGTGTCAGCCAGCCAGCTGGGCTGGCACGTGCTCCGTACGGCTGCAGCGTACAGCTCCCTACTTTGAAGAATATATTTTACCTATACACGCAGTGTGTGTACAGCCAGAATATAATAAAGTCCTGTAACTTCCCTAGGATGCTAGGAATCGAGTTTGCTTTCTCGTCTCACCTCCACTAGGAAGGGGTTCAGCAGAAGAGAGGTCTCCTTTTGAACACCTGGATATTCTGTGCTCGGCCCAAAGTTCTGGTTTATACAAGGCCAAAACAAAACAAAACAAACAAAAAAAAATTATCTTCCCTCTGCTCTCAGAGCACTTTTGGCATCTTCCATGGGATAGATGAGAACAGCCCCCGGGAAGTCATTGTTGTGACTTCAGATGTGGCTGTCATCCAGGCAGCAGGCGGTAACTTTAGTGTGACATTCACCGGGCAGAATGTGAGGTCCTGTTGCAACAATGCACACGTATTTTGTCCCGCCTGTACCACCCGCACTACTTTTTTTGCTTGTGCTACTGGTGAGGGTGAGACCACACACTTCAGCAGCAATGAGGCAGCACGTTGGGAAGCTCTATGCATCTGCAGTGTCTTCATTTCTCTTCTTCTTACTGGTGGGTGAGTACTACAACACCTTCCTTAACGAGAAGAAATATAGTTTATTCCTAGAATTTGGCTTGGGAGGTTCTCTTTTTTTTCTTTCTTTTTTTCTTTTTTTTTTTTTTTCAAAAAAAATTCTCTCCCGAGGGCTTCCCCAGGATGCAGAAAAACTATATTCAGCGTTGTACACTGCATTAAAACATTTTTTTTCTTTATACATATGCTCCTTTTTAGTTAATAGCAATACGTGTTTGGACTTGATCCCCAGGGTGGAATTTATCTTTCCAGAAAGCGTGAGTTTGCTTGGCTTTTTTCAAGAAGAAGGGCTGTGTATCATCATTGCTAGGACCTTCATTTCTATTTTAGTTCTCTGATGTATTAGCAAGCAGTTATCCACACAGGGTAGTTACTCACATCCATCTGTAAAAGCCAAACTTAACCCAGGGCAAAAGTCAATAAATTGAGATAAGCGATGAGCAGTCATTGATCACTTAATCACAGGCCAACTGGGAGCAGGGTAGAGCTTGCAAAGCACTCTCACAGCACCAGCTGGGTGTGAAGTTGAGCCTGAAAGCCAAGAAAACCACCTGAAAGACTGATCATTCCAGCACGTGAGGATTTTTAGGTGGGTTGGAAATTGAGTCCTCGACCTCTGCTCCGTTTATTGAGCTCGAACAAAGGAAAGGAGGCACAGCAAGAGAGGACACATTTGGCACTGACCTCCAGCCTCCATTCTGGTTCCCCGATGCTGTTGGCCACTGGCAAATGAAGCTTGTAGGGCTGCTGTGGTGAACTCCGGGGATCCAACAGGGAAATATGAGGTCCCAGAAGTAGGAATCGTTTTATGCTGGCACATTTTATTCTTTCCTTTTGTCCTCTCACCTGCCTCGTGTATTTCTCAGGCACAGCCAACGAGATGGCCTTACATGGGAAAGGACCAACCTGCAGATGGAGCAAAGGGTAGGCTGACAGGTTAGCAGGTGCCCTGCGGGTACTGGGAAACGTGGAGCACGTTGTCACATTACAGGGAGCCCCAGAGAGCTTTCTCCCCTCATGGCTGAAAAACGGCCACGAACGAGCGACTTTATGTGACAGTGACCTATTAGATCATCTAATAATTTCTCCAGGTCAAGACAAGATCATCCACGCTGTCTGTCTCTGTGCTCTGTCTAGCCTAAGAGCTTTCACCAAAAAGCTTCGCATTCCTCTCCAGAGGGACTGAGCCCTACAACCCACTGAAGGGGGAGCCGCACATCACTCTCCTAATGAAGCGATTGACATAAAAAGAGCTTTGAAGCAGAGTCAACAGAGCATTTGGCACTGGTACACTGCCAAATGCCAGTATGATAAGGGCATTGTGTATTTAAATACCAGTAAGCTAGCAGGTTCCAGTTTTGCAACCTTACCAAAAAGGAAAAAAAAAAAAAAAAAGGAAGGAAGAAAGAAAGAAAAATAGAGGCTGTGCTGTGACCTTCTCAGTGAGAACCCCAAACAGAGCCGGGACTAAACGACACAGCCTACTCCTCTTGCATTTTGATGTTCCTAATTAGCTGTAAGCTAGGTCTAGTGAATCAAAGATGTGGGGTAACGCAGATGACAAGGCCAGTTATTTCCTGATAGGCAGTGCAAATGAAACTCGTGATGAACAGGAGGCAACATCAAAGCACATCGTCCCTGCTCTGTTATGATCTCTGTGCCACTAAGTGATTGTGTAAAAATGATGCCTTTTTCTTCACTAAAAGGAACACAAATTACGATTGTGTTGCAGGGAGCGTGTGTGGTAAGGCAGGAATACCTCTAGCAGAGAAGAAATTCTGTTCCCTTTCCTTGACAAGAAGGTAGCAGCAGCACACACTGCCCTTGCTAAAGCAGCAGCATCCAGCAAAGATGATTGATGGACAGAGATTTTAAAAGAATATTCGAGACAAAACTGCTCTAACAAACAATCAAATGCATCACATCCGAATACGCACAGAACCAAAATATGCCAAGCTACCTTCAGCGTTGTCACACATTTGTCAAAGTATTTGCACTTCAAGATTAAAACTTCAAGATTACTTGTACTTCAAGATTAAACTTGAGTTTTCACAAGGTTTTCACGAGGTGTATAAAAATAGGAGACTCCTTGTGAACTTTTTTTTTTTTTCCTTCCAACCACTCAGAAATTTGGTGATGTAGAGCTTTTTAAAGCTGCTTCTCGTCTGATTGAAAAGTACCTGTTGCCTGTCAGTGTCTCCACACAGGAGCTGAAACGGGGTTATTAACAGAACAGGGAAGGAAATAAGAAAAAGGGAATAAAACTCTGGAAAATCTCCATGTGTCCTGCTTCCCAGGCCTTCTTCGTTGTGTTGTTGGACTGCTGGCAGACACAGCTTGCTCGCACAAACCTCTGTCCGCTGCATGCAGTGACTTGCTTCTGTTTCATCCTGTCGCAGGGGCAGGGGGGAAAGTCACAAGCTAACCAGCTCTTCTCTTTCCTCCCTCATCTTCCTGTTTTGACCAACTTCACAGCCTGGAACTGGAAATTCATTCCTGACAAAAGGGTGGTGGAAGCTGTTACCGGGAGGATGCACATGATGTTCTGGATTTGTATTTATTTATTTATTCATCTATTTAGTGATTTATTTTCTGGGTTTTGGTCACGCTACGTATCACCTTCTGTGGGCACCACTTGTGAGCCATTTGGGGACAGCAGACACGATGCATGCTGTGTGGTTGCCCAGTTTCATAGCCAGCTTTTGCTTTCTGTGTATTTGTGCATCCATGTGTTATCTCTTGTCTGGCACTTAAACTGTAAACTCTGTGCTTCATCCTTTTGTGAGACACCTAGAAAAACAAGGCCCGGCTTTCCGACAGAAACTGTCAGTGCTGCTGCCATACAAGTCATAAATAATAATAGCTTATGAATACAACTGTGATTTCGTACACAAGCTTGCCTGGAGGAGCATTCAAGTAACTCCCAAACCCATCATCAAGCGAGCGGGTTGGTTTTCCATTGCCACGAGACATTTGTCCCTGATGCACAGAGGGACACTATTGTCACTGGGAAGCTTCAGCTGGCCCAGACAATAGCTGCTCACACCCTGCGAGCTGCGGTGAAAGGCTGAAGACAATAGGAGATCAAAACCTTCCCTGAATGATCCGCAGCCCTTGAGAGGGCATCGGCTTGTAAAAAGGGAGACCAATTTTTTTACTTGAAGAAAATTAAACAGTGGAAGAAAGTTTTTGCAAAGATTGCTTTGAACTCTTGCTTGGAGGTAGCTGTCGGGTTATTTTTAAGTTTGTTTCCCCCTCTTTTTGTTCCAGCGGGGGATTTGAGACAGCAACTATTCCTCTCATCTTCTCAGCCCAGGCTTGTTTCCAGAAATGAGATACACTGCATTACTCCTAGCTCCAGGCTGCTCGCTGCTATGATTAGCAGTTGCGTGAGGGAAGGCAGCTTTAAATCTCTGGTCCAGGCATATTGTCTGTATGTTCCTAACAGAGAGCAGCGGGATAATGGGATCCCTTCGCAGAGGATAAATGTCACCCAGTGACAGGAGTCCTCTTAATTAAAAATAAGGTAGTGTGACAGTGTCTTCAGGTGCATCTTCTCTGTGTTTCAGGATGTTGGTTGTCAAAATGGAGCTGGCTATTTCATATGCTGAGTGTTTTCACAACAACTCAAGTTATCAAATGTGTATGTTGAAATCTACGTGTTGAAACCCACAGGAACTCTAACTTGTTGAAAACAGTTCCAGAAAGGGGGCTGCCCAGGCAGGATGACTTAACTAACTTTCTGCTAGGCAAGCAGAAAATCAAGTCCCATCTTTGTGCTTACCTGCTCTGTTTGTAAAACAGATACAGAACATCCTGCAGTCAGTGCCTCTCACCACCTTCCCTTGGCTCACCAGGTTCTCTCTTCTCCCTTTCCTTTTCCCTCTGGCATTAAGCTTTTATATCCCTGGATATAGAGCATGAACTTTATTTTTACATTTACCAAGAGCCTGCTAACTCCTCAATTTCAGCCTCGTTGAACATCAGATCTGCTCCTCAGATAGATTAGGCATCATCTTTAGGAACTCCTGTGCTAGAAAATCTCTCTCTTGAGTAGAGCGTCACCACACTAGAGAAACACTCACATCAGTATTCTCAGTATCAATACCTGCAGCAAGCTAAGATGCTGTCCCCCTGTTTGCAGATAATATCTTCTGGGTGTTCAGTCTGTGGCAATGGAGATTTCTTCTCAGGATCCCAAGATTTCCTATCCTGAAACTGGAAGTGCATGCCAAACCCCATAAGAAGCCAACACATTATGTTTCGGGATGCAGGCAGTTGTGTTCAGATGCTCTCATGTTCACTGTACTTGTCAGAGCAGAGCTGCCTGTGTGCAAGGGGACATGCATTTTTTGCTGTGCCTTGAAAATGGTTGAGACCCTGAGACTTTTTGGAGTGGAAAGAAAGAGGTTAGAGTTCCAGGAGGAAATGTGTCTGAATGTGGCAGAGAACCAATCTGCACACATGAACATAACCTAAGCAGGAACCAGGAAAAAAATCCCTCAAATCCTAATTCCAGGAGCCGTTCTGTGCTGTGGTTACAGGTCAGAAAGAGCCAAAAAGTTTATTTTTCATTATTTTGCCCTCAACCTTCCTTTTCTCTCTCTCTTTTTCTGGTACAGATGTTGGTGTTAGTGGTGGAAATCCAAGCACGGAGAGAGCAGCTGTATCTCACAGGGCAGCACAGCCTCCACTGTTGACAACGCCTGAGCCATGGCACCTTTTAGTGACTCAAACACCAGCCAAGGAAAAAGCCAAAGAGGGGGAAACTGTGGTCTTAAATTGCCACTTTAGCAGTCCACAACGTCTTTCCCTGGCTGACCTGACGGTGAAGTGGTACAAAGAAGATGAAAAGGGGCAGATGGACCTGCTGGAAAATAACGTGACCATCTTGCCAAATAACTCTAGGATTTTCCTGAGTGGAGACTTGTCCCAGGGGGATGCCTCCCTGGTGATCCTCAATGTGACGACCGGTGACCATGGTATCTATTACTGTGAGGTTACGCTTCCAGACGGGAAGGTGGTGACAGGAGATGGCACAAAGCTGAGGATCAGGAGGGCTCTGGGTAATATTTGGTGTTATTTATTATATTCTTTTCTCCCTCTCCCTCCACCAAAGCTGGTCTATATGCTTGCAGAAGGAGGGAAGTTAGTCCGCTTGGCCTCTAGCAGCTATGGGCTGGCGTCATGGAGTGTAATTGCTAGGTAGCATTTCTCATTCTTTTTGTTAGGCTAGGTAATTTCAATTGGCTTGCCCCGAGAAACAATCACACAGGTGTTACTATAGCAAGAGACATTTACAACCAAAAAGGGAAGAAAAAATTTGCTCACTGGAACCAGTGAGTGCCAAAAATGAAACTGCCAGACCAGTTCTCTTGTGTTCAAGGCTTTGTTCAGCTGAACCCCTACGAGTGGCAGGTGTCAAGATACTTTCTCCCTTTTTTTGGACATCATTTCTCTCCAACCCACTAATCTGCATATTCATTCCTTAACTCTGGATGACGTAAGTAATCCCACGATAAAACACGAGGATCATATTATATTGGTTCTGCTTAATTTCAGCCACATTAAAATCAAAGTAGCATTAAAACTGCCATGCTGTTTTCTTAGCCTCACAAATAGACACCAGGCATATTAAGTATGGAGATAACTTGCTTTGCCTTTATCAACTGGGATTGTCAAAGCAGCTTTCCTTTTTATATAGGCCAAACACATTCCAATCCCAATGAATCAAAACATCAAAAGGTTTATTATCTTATTATCTAACTTGGAAAAAGTAGCACTTTCTTTGTCAGGAGTAAATCATGCAAGTGCTGTTCATTATCAAAGCTTCTCGCTCACTGAGTTTCACTAGGCCTTTGCCCTTTTGAGCCTGATTCCTTCCCTTTCTAATTTTTATACAACTACTCAATTTAAACCATGGCTCTGACAAGGCAAGAAAATCATGCCCCTGCAAGGACTTGGCCATGTATCTTATGAGGTCTCCCACTGGCTTGATCTCATAGTCTCAGTAGTGCGTGTTACTCGTGCAGTGTCTGCTCCCTGGCCGATATAATTGCCTTTCTGTGTTCCTGAGAAGATGAAATACATCATTTCTGTGCTATGCCTGAATTAAAGGGACAAGAGAACATCAGAAATATAACTCACAAAGAAATGAAGTGTGCCACAAATCCAGACTGTCCAAAAACTTATCTAAAATTAAAAGGAAAAATTAGATGACAGCGTTGACTTGTCCATTACACGAAGCAGATGATGTATGTTTTGAAGTGAGGTAAGTAATGGTTCTGCAGCACCTTCATTGCCTTTTTGATGAACGAGCAGCCCCCCAAATCAATTTCAACTACAGGACACATCCCAGCATGTGGGAAGATCAGGTTGGATTTTTACTGATGAGCTACAGCTCGTTGACTGGTGAGTGACTGCATGTCCATCTATTCGGCAAGGTAGCAGCTTCTCCTGTGACCAAGTGACCACATGTTTGGAAATCTGTCTATGAATTCCTCAGCTCCTGTGCAATTGGTTTGACTTCTGATTGTGAATGATGACTGAGCATGGAGCCAGAGGTATTGGTGGGGCTGTCTTAAGCACCTATGTTAAGAGAAAAAGAGAAGGTAAACGAGGGAGCAGAACAGCTGCTGATGTACAGAAGGTACAGACCTTTTCTTCCTTTCCTCAGTGAATTGCCTCAGTGCAGTTCAGTGGTAGATGTCCTGGGTTAAACTCATTGTGATTAAGGGCCGATTAAAACTGAGATAAGATTTCAGGATTTATCTTGTAGCCAACAGAGTAGCAACAGCATCCAGATCTTCTAGCGAAGCTTAAATGCAACCCCTTAGAGATATGTAATGAATGCCTGATCGTACTGTAATTGTAGATGAAACTGGAAGGCTTTTAAAGTATTCTTTTATTATCCTTTCTGGATGAGTCACATGGCAGAATGCCTACCACGGGGCAGTCACATAAGATCTGTTCAGATCAATCTTCTGCCTCTGCCCGCCCAGGTCGCTCTCTACAGAGAGGTTCCTTCTCTGGCAGGCTGTTCTGCAGGGCAGGTGCTCTCTGTGATGCATCCCATAACTAGGTGGGTCTAGTGTCCCCACCTAACCAAAGGTTCTTCCTGAATCATCCTTGAGTCACAATAAATAATGCAGCCAGGAGGCCAACGTGCTCTTATCTCAAAGAAAATGGGATCATCCCATCTTGACCATGCAACAGCCCCAAAGAGCAACAAGTCAAAGAAAGGGCTTCAGTGGAGCTCTGCCCGCCTCTGGGTGCTGCTCCATAACAGCGCCAGGTTGTTAAGGGAGACTGATAGGGAGATGAGGCTATTTTGTCCCTAAATCCCCAGAAAGCATAGCAGCTTCATGCAAAGGAATGAAAAAAAATTGCTCCATCGTGCAATACATTCCTGTGTGGAAGCCAATGACTTCATGCCAGACAAGACATCGTTATAATCACTCTCATGGCAAGTAGCTTCCCTACAGACACTGCAGAAAATGTGATAACCGCATTGCATACACGTGCCTGAAAAGATATCTTATGCTGCTCTCTCTGCCTTTCCTTCTCCCCCAGGCCTGTTCGGTATCGAAGAATCCATTGGGACGATCATCGGAGTTGTGGCGGCGGGTATCGGAGGCTTGGTGATTCTGATAATTGTTCTAACCCCGCAGCTAAGGAGGTGTGCCCTCTGCATGAAGCAAGGCTCTCACCAAGGTATGGAGCACAGAACAAAACCTGGCATTACCTGATAGAAAGATGACCCTGGTCACCTGTTTCCTTTTTATTTTTCAAAATTAAGTAGGAATTAGCCAGTTACTTACCTTTGGTCAAAGCAGGTGTCTGGAAGTATGAAGCATGGATGAAACTCTGCCAGGACTGGTCCTCTGTTCCATTTCTTTTTCACATAGTTCCTTGTTTATGTCGGAAAGACCTTCATGTATGGGCCCAACGAGTTACCTATAAATAAAATAGTATCTTCTTTAATTGCCACCTTCAGCAAAGAGTTGTTCCATGAGACACTCTTTCTCCTTTTAACCAAGTCCTCCTGGATCTGCTTGTGTTCTTTGGGGTTTATTCTGAAGGATTGTTCTTTCTCCCACTGACTACACACTTGTATCAGTAGTCTTGTCATGCTTGCATACAGAAAGCCTGTAATGGACCAAGTACACACACGAGATGTGGTTTGTAAAGCCCAGTAATACATTTATTAGATCACCTGCTCAGATAGGGTAAAACAGACATTTTCATCACATAAAGAAATGACCCAGGGAGAGGCTGATGTATCCAAAAATGCAACTGCCTCTTTTTTTTTTCTAGCTCTGGCAGCTGTTCTAGTAACAGTAAGCTGACACCAAAGGCTGGCCACAAGTTTAGTTCCCCTTTGGTGCAGCCCAAGACGCAGCCTGCATTTCAGGATGAGCGCAGCTGACTGGAAGCTTTGCTAGATGAGACTCTTTCAAAAAGTTCGTTTTGTTTCTCTCTTCTCCGGAACTCAAAAATCTTACCCAAGCCTAAACTTCCAACCCAACCCATTCCGTGATTCTGTGAAATCAAACATGAGGAGCTGTTTGCTCTTCACTGGAGCGCTGCCGCCACCTGATGGCCAGCTTTGCGGGGACAGGGACAGGGACAGAGCCTGCTCCCTCTTACCCTCCCAGTCTTGCTGCATAATCATATACACAGCACAATCCCTTTGCAAACCCTCTGAGTGAACAGAGTTTACAACCTCTCACCTTGCCAGATAGCCTGGGGAGAGTTTTTTGTGCCGTACTAACGTTGTATCACTCACTTGCTCTATTTTTTCCTTCTTGCAACGTAGCTTGACCTGCAGTGCTACAGGAATCACTGGAAGATGCAAAGGCTAAACGTGGAACAACTTGTAAGCCAAAAAGGAAGCTCTAGATGTAATAAACGTTTTTGCATCCATACATGTTGCCTTTGGCATTTTTTCTTTTTCTAGTATGTTTCTTCTTCCTGCAGCTTTGACAGGTACAGTGGCATATTCAACATCCTCCTGCAGCGAGGAGCAAAACAACCGTTCAAAAAGGAATTTGTGCCATCACCTGCTGAGGGCCCACTTGGTCTGGCCACATCTCTCTGAATCTAGGCTCTGATGAGGTACCTTGGGTCTTTCCCTGCCATTACATCTTATTTGGAGATTCTCCAAGTCTGCCAGCACTGCTTCAAAGTGGACAGAAGGAAGGCTTCCAGCCACAAACACCTGCCTGAGGGAAGCGCCATGCGTTTGCCCAGAATGTGTCACTTTTTGGGTGCAGCCAGCGTTCCCATCTGCCTGGGAATGCCCCCCTCTCAGTATAGAGGGTCTTGTCCCAAGGGCTTGCTCCAGCCTACTGTCCTGCAACAAAGGGGCAAAGAAGGCCCACTTGAATGCTACCCCTGCCTGAAAAAAAATGGGGTTTGGTTTTACTCTTCCAGAAGGAAATACAGTGCTTCTATCTAAGCTTCAAATAGCTTGAAGAAAAAGGAGAGATTTGTAAGATTTGCTTGTTATGAGTAATGTTCTCCACTGCCCTGGTCTCTTGATGTGACAGTAATTGATCCCCAGGCGGTCAGTGGCAGGGGACTGAGCCAACACCGGTACAGGAGAGCAGCACATCAGGGTTTGAAACGTGTGTGGCAGGCAAGGAACGTGCTCTTCTGCCTCGGCTAGGTGTGCCTACTGGCTGAAGTCAGAAATATTTCCTGGTCTTGCACCAGTAACGCCCCAGTGCAACTCTGCATACCTTTGAATGCTCCCCAGGAGCATCCCCAGTGTTATGAGGCAAGAACATGAGGTAGATGGCTCAGAAACACACACACACAGTCTGCAAAAAGGGTTGGAGCCCTGTGTGGGTAAGAGCTCTGCTCTTCCTTTCAGGAGCAAGCAGCTCGGCCAGCAGAACTCCTCCCAGTGCAAGTAAGGCATAAGGAGGCTTCCTCCCGTTATGATTGATGCTCCTGCTCCTCCTACAGCCCAAGGAAAATACAGGGGGTCACTGTACTTCAACGTGCATGATTCAGGTCTTCAGAAACCAGTCTTTCTTTTCTCAGAGATTTTTGTTTGTTTGTTTTGTTTTGTTTGTTTTTAATACAACAGACACACACACACACACACAAAAAAAAAGTCCAGCAGAAGTCTCTACATATTTTCCAGATTATGTGCAGTTGTGTGGGAGCTGAAGGTCAGACTGTGTGAAAGGACAAAAAAGACATTTGGTGATTGGCAATGTGCTCTAGCTACACTACAGGCAACACTCAGTTTCAGCGCAGATCTGCTTGGAGTGTCACAGGGGTCCTTACCTTTTGCACAGAAGTGGACAGAGCAGGATTTTATCCTTCCTTCAGTATTTGGAAGAGGCACACATTTTGCTCTGTCTTTCTTCCCCATAAACCCTTACCTGCCAGAAATTCTCTCACACCGTTGTTAGCTCAGGGAAAAGAGGTACAATTTTTATTCCAGTGCCTTCAGATTAGAAGAAAGCTTCTAACAAGACTATTTTTCCCCCCCGTAGCTGAAGTGGCAGGTGGGATGAGTCTGTCCGCACAGAAAGTTTGGCCAGAGGATGAAGTGCGGGTTGTAAGGGGCCTCTCCCCAGCACTTGGCTGCCTCTTGGTCACACTGGCACACCATTTTTTCACATCGGTCTGTCACTTTATCTGCAAAAGAAAACATGAACGGAAAATGAGGGATGCTGTGCTGGAACAAGGGGAGAAACACTTTGAAGAGTGAGCAAGTCCCTAACAAAGTGGTTCGTGGGGAACACAGGCTGTGGGAGGAGGCAGAGGAGGCTACTCAGCTGCTGCACAGAAAATCCCCATCTGCGTGAGCAGGAGAGCAGGACCAACGTGTTGTGTTGTGTGCGGATCCGATCCTCCCCATCCCCTCTCTGTCAGTGGGTCTGACCTTAACAGTGGCCAGGAGCATCAGAAAGTGCCAGATAAATGTAAAGTGGCAATGCCTATAAGATGTGCCCGGCACAGAGCACTCATTTGGGGTTAATGAAGCCCATCCCACCTCCAGGCAGATTAAACGCAGCTGTTAGGCTAATATTACTTAAAAGCACAGTGCCTTGTTTATATGATGCTGCTCCTGTGGATTTTCTATCTCCTTCCAAACCCTGTGCTAGGCAAAGTTTAAAGCATTATTTCATGTCAGCGCACACAGGCTTTGATCCAAAACCAGCTGCCATGCATACAAATCTTTCCACATTTAACTGGACTTTGCTGGACCAACCCTATATCTGATAAATAAGAAGAGCCCAAATGTCTCAAGCTATTCTGAAGAGAATCACAGATCTACCAGTAACGTTGCAAGGGCCCCCTTCACAAGGACTCAGCAATAAGTCCATTTTTTGCTTAGCTACCATTCAGCTTTTCTCCCTGCCCTCTGCTCCCTGAGTTCTCCCTGTGCCATGCCAACCACTCTCAGCCTAACGTCAGGACAGGAGCCTGGCTTGGCAGCCAGTCCTGGGAGAGCACAAAGATTTTTTTTGACCAGCCCCAGCAGCTTACGGCCTTTCCTATATTCCGGATATTTGCTGAACGGAATTCACCTACATGTGATGGTATATCTGGACTGAAACACACAGTTTTGCCACATTTTTCTTCCGTTATACAAACAAAACTGCATAGCAGTAGCAAAAGATGTGAGAGGTCCCAGGTAAAATGAGTTTCTGTTTCATTTCCCTGAAAATACCTGTGTTTATGACATAGTGCCAGGCCGCAGGCATACCATTTCCTCTTGCATAGCATGGACAGTGAAAGCAGCTGTGCTTGTAATTTCTCTGGACATCTATCCTCTAGGCCCAGCAAACATGCCTTGAAATCTCTCTATTCCTTTAGTTTGAATGCAACCAGACATTACACCTTCCCAGCTCAGTAAAACCTGCTGTGCTGCAGCCTAGGAAATTTGTCTTCAGGGCACATTTCTGTTGTTCTTCCCTGTGGTGGATGTAAGAGGAAGTGAAGCTTGCTGAAGCCTCATGGAGAATAGATGCTGGATGCTTCTGAGGTCCTCCCAGGACATCAGCTAAGGAATTAATGGCATTTGTTTAACAAACACTTGTTACCCAGGTTGGAACAAGCGCAGCCCTGTGCATTTTTATGGGGCAAGCATCGCAGGTCTCATGGACTCTTTAAGTCTTACATCTGCAGCTGGGATTGTTCCTTCACAGCAAAAAGAAACAGTCACATATCGAAACAGACAGCAGAAAATATCAGACAGCAATGGAAATATGGATAAATGAGAGGGAGAGCAGTTATGACTTCAGCAAAATATTCCTCAGCCAGCACTCTCTATTTAATAGGTTGTTTTGGCACTTGGACAGGAGCTACTGTGGATATGTTGTGCCACATCCTGTATCTGCTGGCAGGTTTTCAGCTGCTGGAGAGGTTGAGGATTGCACTACAAGGATATGATCTTCTAGCAAAGTATAAATAATCATTTAGTCTTCAAGCAATAGCTTTGATGGTATGGGGACAGGTTTTACTCTCACATTTCTTTTCAAACTTCCAAAGAGCTCCACAATAGATTTTACCATCAGGGACTTTTGGAAGACTTCGAAATAGAAGTGACAAATTCTGAGACTGGAGTCATCTGGTGGATGTCAAAACAAACTGGTGTGAGCCACTGACGGGCTGTGACTGTGCAATTCAAGACCTTCCTGACTGGGTACCAGCTGCAGAGCTGAGCAGAGCCTACACACGCTGTATGTGCCTGCGGCACTCGAGAGCGCTCAAATCTGCAAGCTTCAAAATCCTGATGGAACCTGAGGGCTTCAGGCTGGGGTCCCACACAAGGCTGGCACCCTACCTGACCTGTCCAGGAACGGGAAGAGAGCTCAGAGGAGAATGAAGGATACCCAAAGCAGTTTTAAAAGCAGCTTGGCGTGCACAGACCCACCTCCGAGGCACTCAGAGCTTTTGTCAGCCTGTGCTCCCCTGGAGGAGGGAGGGAACTGAACCTGATGTGGGTGACGACCTCCTTACCAGCACTGCACGGCCTTCTCCTCGCACTCCCACTGGTAGCTCTGCACCTTGGGGCTGCAGCCCTGTTTCTCCGCCATGTCGTAGCAGCAGTCGTGCCTGTGGCAGCACCTTAGGGAGAAGAAAAGGCAGAGTCTGGGCTCAGGCACCCTGCAAGGTTTTGTTCGGGGGGGTTTCCATGTGCCACAAGGGTGTTCCACTCATGCACTGCTAATGACAGCTCTGTCAGTAAATCGATAATGAGCAGAGTGTCCTGGCATCTCTGTGAAAGCTCAGGAGCTTGCTAATGCCGTATTTGCTCCCAAGACCATGATGTTTCTTCTTGCCCTGTGGTTTTGTCCCCAGAAAGGCAGGTGTGGTCAATACCCAGGACATGGTAATCCTGCTCACAGCAAGAGGCTCAAGCATTGTGGTGAGGTGTGTGACCATGGCTCACCAGTTTGGGCTTGGACCCAACTCAGAATCCGGAGTCAGGATGGTTTTTCCCTTCCTTGGCATCAATGAGCAGCTGGCTACAGAACCATCAGCCTCCAAGGTGGGATTCAGACCCTCAAAGGTGGGATTCAGACTTTATACGCCTAGGTGTAAACATCAACATGTAAGGGATTGACCTAGGCTCCCCTTCTGCATGCCTGGGGCACAGTTAATATTACCCTACTGCAGAGATATAACATAGGTGAAAAGCACTGAAGGTATTGACTGCTCTTCTTTGACAATAGAGGGGGCTTAGGGTGACTAGCCCAGCTGTTGATATCTGCACTACAGACTACACTTAGAGAGATAATTCCCACTATTGAATACTTCAGGGTATATAGGAAAACTTCACCCCACTTAAATTTTATTCTGGTAGTTTAGTGAATTAAAATACACTAATTAAAAAAAAAAAAAAAAAAAAGACTGATTAAAATCATTAAAAGAAATGATTTAGCACTTCAAGAGGTCC